TCTGCAAAATGACAAAGAGGGAAAAACTTCAGCAAGCCTACAGTACATCACGGAGAAAAAAGCAGTTCGTGAACTGAAGGAGGCTATAAAAAAAGGCTTTGACGAGTAAGAAATATTCAGCTTATGTATTCATACCGCTCCGAGATTTTCTCCAAACGTAGACTGGCTTATAATTTTTCAGTGTTCAATATAGACCCAGAAGCAGGGAAGGGGTCTGTTTCCTGTCACATGAAGGAGAAACAGGACGTGGGTCATTTGAAATAACTTCACATTTGCACCACTACCTTCAACTTCAAGATGAAAGGGGTGTCGAAGTAGTTGACTTGCTTTCTGATCGTTGCATAGGCCGGGACAACAATTCTGTAATTCAAGCTACGATCATGGATTTTGGTCGCCAATCAAGGTATGTCCATACTGTCACCGTTCACTTCTTTGAGCCCAATCACGGGCAATCAGAGGGCGACTCCGTGCATAGCTACATAGAAAAAGCCATGCTTCATACCGGTGACTTATTATTGCCTTTCCAATTTGTTTCTGTATGGCTAGATCTCAATAAGCTCTGTTCAGGAACCTTTCCAGTTATTACACATCCCGAGTACTAATCTTTCTATCGCCAGAAACCCTATTAAATTATAGATCTGAAGTCTTTTTGTCTGCATTAAAATTTCAATTTCTTTATATAGGTAAATATCTTTTTGTACCTCAATTGAATTTTATATTATTGTTCTTAGTATGAATATACAGTTGGTTTCATCCACAAATCTACATTGCTTTTACCAATTTCAGGTTTGAATTTATTTCTTGACTGCATCACACTAGAATTATGTTACTGACGTGGCTCATATAAGAATGATTGCACGATTGATAAATCACATTCTACGAAGGCTATAAATGGATTTGAAATGTATGCCGGTTTTTCTCCAGTATTGTAGACAATATTGAGAAATTCAATCAGTAACACCATCAGCTCCTAGTACTATATCCTTTTGTGTATGGCGCATCGTATGCGGAATGTGTGTGAATGTGTTGTAGTTTGAAAATGGAATTTTACCTTCAATGGGAAGAGGTTTTTTTTATATAAAGTGTATTAACTTTGAGCCAAAAATCTCGTGTCTATTAAAGTTTAGCCCCCTACATAGCTGGCAGCATGCAAAAGGTATTTGTAGCTGTAAAAAAAGTAAAATAATAGGACGGAATATGTTAGTACCTGAGAAACATTATCTGCTTTTTAGAATCAGGCGCATATTCGTCTATTGTATTATTTACAACCTGAGGCTGTAAGTCTGTGTCTTCCAAACCACTCATTCGAGAAATTATTTCGTAATACGACAGTGATCATTCAAATTAAATTAATTGAACACGTTGTCCATACGTGTGAACGTATAAACACTGCCTTATGGGGTACTGGAACAATGGGAGGTACCTAACAAGGAATGCCCACCGACTTGCGGGGTACCGTTTTGGTTTCCCACATTTTTTTTCACGGAATAAATATATTTAGTCACTTTTTTGTCATTATTTCTTTCCGTGAAAGTTCATTCGTACTGACACAGGATCCTGACTGAGAAATAGAAGAACATTCGGAAGATCAAACTGGCGAGCAACAGGTATTCAAGTCGGTGACTGTTTGATGTTCTGACAACCTGCTCATAAGATTGTGTTATGGGATAGAAATATGGATAGGGATACGATTACTCCCAGTTAGAATTAGGCAAAGGATTACTCCCAGTTAGGGTTAGGGATAGGAATATGTGCAGTCGGAACTTAGGTGTGTGGGAACATAGGTGTGCGGTGTGGGAACGAAGATGTGTCGGAACATTGGTGTGTAGCCTTACAGTCACCATATTATTGTAGTCACCATATTATTTGATTAATCGGGGCCGAATCATAGGTCCGACGCCTCATAGGTCCGACGCATCATAAGTCCGACAATGGTCAAACGCTGTTTCGGACTTACGAGGCGTCGGAGCTACGAGGTTTCGGACTTATGCGGCGTCGGACCTATGAGGCGGAATAAATAAAATGTATGCTTCATAGGTCCGACGCATCTTAAATTTTGGACTTACGAGGCGTCAAACCCCGATTAATCCATCATAATACCTGAGTTTAAAAACTGTATACGGATATTTACTCGAAAGCGGATGTGCCTGTTATTAATTAATTCTTTATAATGCACTGCAACATTATAACCTTGTGTGTGTTTTAGGTTGTTCAAGGTGCAGGCCATCATGATCCAAGTCAGGCTTCAGGAGCACAATCATGAAAAAAATCATATTCAGTTGGCAATTCCAGATACTCAATTACCAACCCACATCATCACCAACTTAGATGACATAGTGTCTTTTAATCTAGCAAATAAGTATCTAACAAGGCATCGCAGATCATGCTGCTCGACCTACGGAACACTATCAAGTTGAATGTGTCATAGAGAGCGCCCCCATTGATGGGAATGTACAGATCAAATTGGCATACAATCCGCCTCGGTATGGTTTATACTTCGCTTAAAAGTGTTTCACCGATAATTGTGTAAAAGTTGTTCACATGGTTCTTCAATATGTGGGTGTAGGCGACATCCCAACAATCGACAACAACTTTGATGTACATGTATAACAAAAGGGTGTGTTGAAGGTCCCGTGCATTGTTAATGGCATTTAGCAAATTTAGCAAGTATTCCTACTTTTTTGTTCCCTAGTTACACTCCTAGGCCTACTGTTGTTATACAGTTTACAATTCAGAACTTAAAAATTCCATAACCTGTGTTTTAAAAGCCAGTTGCCGAAGGACTGTCTCCCTCCTTTCTTGGACGTGCGTAATTTACTCAAAAGACGTGTCAGTTTCGCCCTTATTTGCCACTTCAAATGCAATGTCAGTGTCAGTGACAAATAATATTTTTGGCACAGTAAACGAGCCAAAATTCCTTCACAAAGTTTTGGAGAATTTTTCTAGGTGACCTGGCCTTCAGGAAGTCAATTAGTTTATCAATATATCAACGCCCACACTGATGCTTGATGACTGAGAAAGCATGATGTTAAACTTTAGAGATGTTTACTTGTTTTGTGTTGTCCCTTTGTGGCATCACCCGTTACAAAGGATAACAAGATGTGGCGCCCATTATTGATCAATCTTTATTTGCCTTTAATATCATACTCCCGAATTATACAATGCTTTCTAAAATGAAACCACAAAGTTACCAGGGATAACATATGACCAGTTTCCAAATTCATCAATTCGTTCCATCAGTTTCCCAACTTTCATGACAGCTAACTGTTCTCAAAAGTTTTTTTATTGATGATGTACCTAAACCAAAAAAGTGCGTCACAATCCTCTGCCAGTGCGTCTCTCCTGATTGCTACCGGAGGTGATTCCTTTCTCCCACTCCTCAATGCATGATTGATGTCAGTAAGGTTATAATGTCCTCAACTGGTGTAGGAGCTAGTCAAACAAGGAGCTGGACAGGGAATCAAATCTTTAATTTTATCCTCGGGAAGCCACTCATTTTAGCACTCACACCAGCCTTGGTATGTGACGTAGCACTTTAATCGCCCTGTTTTAAAACCTACACAGTATAAATACAAAGAAACTAATAAATAGGTGGATAATGAAACAAACATAGGCCTATACCATCTTACAAATAACAGAGATTACTAAAAAATAAATAAATCTAAGCCGTTTTTCCCCCTGAAAGCGAGAATCCCTTGTCTACAGAAGAAGGGCCTAATGCAAAGAGCTATAGTGTTTCTTTCGTAGGCACTTCATTGTAAACATTGATGAGCGGTACATGAACTGACTCCTATCCAAATTGTGCACCAAAGTGAAGTAAATAGTACATTGTACAACCCTACGCAGCTACGTGTAAATCTTTCTCATGTTATTTGTTGAAGCAACGGAAACCATCCATTTTAAGCGAGCTTTTAGAACACTACCTTGACTTCGAACAAATCACCTTCTCTTCACAAGCGTCCTCTGCAACATATCCTTCTGAAAAACGTCTTCCGAATGTTGAGGCTATTTTTATTTTTATTGTGAAATGTGGCTCTGTTGCTGATTTTTTTTTCGCCGGGGACGTCCGTCTGTCGTGTGATCAGACTTAATACATAACCACCGCGCAGCACAGGCGCGCGTGCGCCCAAGCAGCAATTTAATTGGTGTAAATTGAAAGCATCGTGAAAGCATCGTGACCATGGTAGTGCATCTTCGATAAACATTACGCCCTCTGTTGGTCGAAAAGCGCAAACAAAATGAGTCACTCAACTAAATATGAGTTGAAGACCTGAAGTTCAATGAGTTGCTGGAATTGTAAAGGGCGAAGTTCTTCCTTTTAGATTTTAACTGGCAACTCTGCACATGGTCAGCAACATAATAATGGATCAGATGGACATGTTGCCTTCTGTTTAGTTTGCTACTCGCTGTTGAGGTGAGTGTTATACCGATGTTCCACCAATATCTTTTATAATATTAAACCGACAGGATATTTTGTTTGGGGGTTTTTGAGACCATAATAAAAAAAACCCAAAACATCGTTATGCACGTCATCGTCAGGTTTTGAAGATTGAAATTCTTTGTTTTTCCGTCTGCCAATAAACTCAAATATATGATTCAAATCACGATTTTAATCACTTCGTCAAACAACTCAAACAGCTTAGTTAAAAAAGAAGAAAATAAGCGGAGGAAAAAAAAAAGACAAAAAAACCCAAAAAAAACAGGGGGGGGGAGGAGATGTCATCTCGCAGCGATGTTTTGTATTGTATTGTAAATGTCTGTTGATCTGTGTAATTCCTATTTTATTTAAGTTTATTTCAATGAATTTTTTAACATTCTTACATTGTACATGTGTACTTTTAATTGTATTTAAATAGTAGTTTTGTGTGAGCTGGGATCCAGGGGAGATCAGTGAGTTTTTCTCACTGAATGGATCACCCAGGATAAATAATAAATAAATAAATAAATAAATATGATTTAAAACTGAATAATGATAGATCAGTCAGAAAAAAAGAATGTCTTTATTTAGTTTTCTTACCACAGCAGCCTTGTCGGGTAGTGACTGTGATCTCACCCAAGCAGTGTTCATTCAGCAGGTCAACTCTCCACCAAGGATGTGGGTCGCCTCCATCAGCTGTGTATTTAATAGAGATGACACAATCTTAGGTGAGACTATTATAATATCTACGGCGACGATGACGGTAAGATAGCAAGCCATTGGACAATGGGTTGGGGATTGCGGTTTTGAGTACATGACCTACATTATCGTGTCTATTATTTAAAAGTAGGGCCTATATTCGATTTTGTCATCACGGAAGTCATAATGCTCAATTACTGTACATTACTATGACGGTTGGTAAAGAGAGGCCCTCCATCCATAATGAATTTTGCATTTCGAGATAACGTTCTCATTACATCGTAACAAAGTCAATTCAGCTAAATGCTAATATCAAATAGGCTTATAAGTATCGGTTTATTCCCCCTGGTTCAGTCCAATGAATTAAAGGGGCCTCGCCAACCCACCATTAGGTTGCCAAGAGCCTATTTGTACGTATTAAAATTTCACATGCATCAAGCGAATGGATCCGTGTGAATTAGTGTGTGAAATAGTCTGAATTAACAGGAGGTTATTTTGTAAAAATAAAAACTCCTTGCGCTGATAATTCATGAAAGCTGTCATATTATAACAATATTAAATCGTTTAGCGTAACCATTGATATTTAAAAAAAATATGCCCACTCCCACTCCATTGTTACAATGTGAATAAATACAGGCCAACGATCCACATTGTAACACTAGACGGATGCAAATCAAATATTTGACATACTTTTTGAAAGTTGTTTAAAATTTTGACATTGACAATACTGTTTGTTGTTGCGGCCAAGAATACCCGTGCTACTCTGTTAGTTTTCAAGAGTTCAAGAATTTTATTTTTTCTAACTTCTACCTAAATGCGAGGATGCATAAGTGGGACAAAATTCCCTTTGTCTTTGTTGAATTTCCTAAAACATTTTAGTCAATCAAACTTAGCATTGATTTGAGAAATAAAGCCATCAAAAATTAGAGGGCCGAAGCCTTAATGAATTTAAACATTTAAGAAAGCATTTAATTATCTAACAATGGTGAGTAATTTTTTTTAGAAATGTTATTTCGTACAGTTCTGGCGACAACTAGTGGTTGATATAACGCTACTGCAGGTTAATGGCGGAAGCGCGTGTATAATGCAGGCATTACATATCGTTTGTGTAGTAATTACTGGGATGTGAACATAACGAAATAATGTGCTTATTTCAATGGCAATCGCTGACTATTTGTATGGACGCTGCGCACATTTAGTCATTTCTAGTGCGCGAGCAGTTCATGGCCAAGTTTTGCACCACCAGAACGTCATTGAAAGCAACCCCACCATTTTTCGAAAGCGTCCAGGGCAAGAGAAAAAAAGCCGCTAAAGCAAGTGCCGTGGAGCAAGGCGCAAAGCTGGTAACTGCTTTGTTTGTAAGTCGGCAAAGAAGTGCTTTAAAGATGACATGGTTAGTCAGCATACAGTGAAGAATATTAGCATACAAGAAGCTGTGAAGACTATTAGTCAGCATACAAGCCCATGTCTCCGAGCTAGCCAAATGTGCGAAGCAAAGCACGCGTAATAATTAATCCTGCACATGTATTTCAATAGCTGCAAGCGTCGTGGGGAAGAACTCATTCGCAAAGTGATGTACTTGCAGTAGACAGATATATTACCTTTAAATAATTCTCCCAGTCATGTAAATAATTTAGCGCCTAAGTTAACAATGCAAATAAATCACATCGTGCGGATTGAGATCTTGCATTATATAAATCGTTTCCTGGAGTGAATTTTTTATAATGGGATTGTCTGTTGCCAATTAACGGGCCGATGCATTTTAAAAATATAATTTAGACTGTTTAAGTTAGACTAATTGTGTCGTTTGATGACCGTGGATATGCCTTGATGAGCCTGGACTGCGTCGATATAAACATGTTAATTATCGTCTTTCTCTAAACGGTCACCACACCCATTAGAGTATGATGAAAAGGTTGAAAGGACATTCACAGGGTCTTCATTAACATTTTTATGTAAGATGTGTTTGGCAACTAGACAGGAGGCCTTTGGCCATCCATTTGGATATACAATAACTGCAACAGAGCAATCGAACCAGGCACACTTGGATCGCAAACTGACCAATGATACCAGTACTACAGGCAATTCATTGATGGGTCAAAGGTATTGTATCGGAGTTATCTTTTTGTCATGATACCTCATACCAATGCCCTTCATTATTAGTGATAAATAAAGCTCGTCGGTTTAAACAAGATTTTCATCACTTGAATGACAAAACTGGACTTGCAATACAATTAAAAACGAGAGCAAGAACATTTATAACATGCCAAAAAGCAACTCAAAGAAAACAACACTGTAAGAATATTCGGCGCGCGTAAATTGCAACGTGCGTCCAAAGCAGCTAGTGCACAATGTTATTATGAAACACGCATTTAACTGCTTTCCTTTACTAGATTTACAGATTCACTACAAGAGGTATTTTATAAAAACCGAAAATTAATTTCATAAAAAATTTTGACCAGATTTTTAAAAATTCATTTTAGTCGGGCGCCGAACAGATCACGAAATGATCATGAGGTTTCAATATGACACGGCAGTCTATGTTCTGTCTGTGGTATATAATGCCGTGCCATGACATCGTCATACCAAGTGGCCCACACCTCCTTGGTCATTTGCTGCTGTGATCAGTATTGAGCAATCGAGACGCCATCTGGCTTCCGAGACTGATAAGCGACCAGACTAATCTGATGACAACGAAAAGATGAGTGCGCCTCCTGATGTCTTTGGCACCTTCCAATTGTCTTTGGCACTTCTTTAACGCTGACAGATTACCCAGCTCATGATCCAACACTCCAGATCCAAATCCCAAGGACAAAGTACCTCCAACCATACCGACCACGAAAAGAGCTAAGGCCGCAGCTTCATTTTTAGATTTCTCATGAGGACCCCTTAATGACTCGGGTGGTCCATTCCTTATTTTCATAGGCTTCAACGAAATTAGCGTTATTCTTATAAATGTGTTGAACCTAAATACTCCTATCACCGTCGTTGTATAGCATTGTCAAATGACTCATTAGTTGCCTTACATGTGTTGCGAATGGTATTCGCACAATTAAGGATAAGGATGTAATTACACTTGGCAAATTTAGGTCTATCTTTGGTTTTGATACAACCGGTGTCGAAAAAAAATTCCAAGATTCTAACAGCTTACCTCCATGTGAGAACGTATTTATGTCGTTGTCGACTGCATTTCCTGCCGGGTAATACCCCATGCTTTGCGATGCTGGCTTGCCAATGACCGATAATGCTGCAAAAAGCAAACAGAACAGATTAATTTTACGATGATGAGTGATTAACATTTGTGTGAATAGGAACACAACTGAATCTTCAACTGAATAGGAACAGCAGGACCAATTTACGAAACGTCAAGTTTGATATGTCCAGCTCTCCCACCCCCTGATGCAAACATCTTGCGAGGTCGGCATACGTAGTGTGTCGTTTGTAGCTGTAATGTTCATGTGTAATATCAGATTGTTTAAAAAGAAAAGCCGAAAATATTTAAGTCGGTTTTGGAATCACAAAAATAGAACTCACAAAGTGCTGTAGACAAGGGTAGCCAATCAGGGGCTACTGGTTCTATATATAAAAAAAAAGAAATTGGAAGCGAGTGAGTGCGCATATATACAAATTTGGCACACCGCCAGCTATATTTTAGGCAGTATCTTTTTGGGCAAAATGTTGGACATTTTATTGAAAAAAGGTAATTTTTGAAGATGACGACCGACTTGCTACGCAGTTTTGCAGCCCAGCTCATTCCGTCAGAAAACTAGTTGAGAGACATTCGCAGTTTGCAAAGCACAAATTGTTTCAGGTATAAACAACAATTGTTTTTTGGTGTCCATTTTACACTGGAAATTTGTGCAATGTTTATTAAAAAAATAAAGATTATTGGGCTCGCTGACGTATCCAAATGCATAAACTTTAATTACATGTCCATTGTGAAATCATAAAGATTGCATGCTTGGGAAATTTTAATTTTTGGACATTTTATTAGGTTTCACGTGCAAACTGGGACACCAAATGGTGTCCGCGAAATTAATCATGCACATAATTGTAATAGTCAAAACAAGACTTATTTTTTTACAATAAACATCGATGTGTTACACTTCGTAAGACAAAAATACATTTAACATTTAAAAAAACAAAATATTTTCTGCTGCTGTATTTTTGTGTGTGTGAAAAATATATGTTTCCTATTGAAATAAAATAATATTTTGGTTGAATGGATGGCGAACAATTTTTAAGTAACATTTTCACGGTGTAAAGTAGGCCCAAAGACTGAATAAAATGATTTATTCATTTTATAGGAGGGGGGTCAAACAATGTCCAATGGTGGCAGGACCGTATCATTGGTTGGATTAACCGACCAAAAAATGGCTTTCAAGGAATGAACTATGTTCTTCCATCAACTGAGCAGAATATGCTGCAATTTTGATGAAAGCTTGAGATGAACAAGCACTATTTTTGTGGTAAGGTTTGATGAAGAAAAATGCGTTTACCTAACCAAACCTGATTGGTTGACTTGTGTACCAAAAGGAACTGGTCTATAATAAACAAAGGTATGTTGTTTGTATGACCACAAAACTCGGCTGGACAATAACTGCTCTTCGAAATAGATAAAAAACAGTCTGATATTGATTGCCGCAACGAACGGCTTTTACTGTGTATGCCCCAGTTAATTACTCATGCTTTCTTTGCTTTTCGGTCTCCGGACAGTCGTGTTCCGTTGTTAATTGTATGCTTCAGATCACCTAATTCGGGCTTTAATATTATTATTACTCAATCTGCGAACCGTCATGGCATGTTGTCATCTATATGCCACAATACTATGCGTGGGTGCTTGTTGTTTATGCATATACGATGGTTCTCCTCGTCGGGCTTCATAAATTAAACATAAAACATGCATATCATAGATAACGGACCAAGACGGTTCACAAATTGGCATGTCGTTGAATATTAGGTGTCTTTTTTATCTCATCAGCATCCAATCAGGCTAGAGAAGGGCCCCTCTAAATTTTAAGAGGCAGATAATTAGTCAAGTCATAATGAGAGGGTATAAACACAATTAAAAAAAGTGTTCAAACAATTTTGAGATTTTTAAAATACCTTTGCTCGATAGCAGTTAGAAATTCAATTTGAAAATTAAACCAGGAGGATTGTAACAAGTCTACCATCACATGTCATAGTCCGTTATATTTCATAACAGACGGACGGTTTTAACATTTCTTTCGGTGGGACGGTCAAACCCCGTATAGATTGATTATACGATATATTGCACTCTCAAAACATTTGTAAAATATTGTTGGAAAAGTTGGTTACATTTGAACCAACATTGTGTATTTTTCCCAATTTGACCAGTGAATGTTTGGTACCATTTACCTAACGTAAAGTGAAACTGGTTCATTGTATACCACGGTTGATTAAAACAGTTAAACTTGGTTTAATTCAATCAACGTTGGCTAAAATGTCTAATTCAAACAACCTTTGGTGACCAGGTGAACAGCCCAACAGTAGACAACGTTGGGTAAAATATACTGACCATTGGCATATTTGAAAGCATTTGCGTCGCATCAAACTCACGGGCATTTACATTGCGATTCATTTTTTTGCAATTTGATTGATAAGAAAGGACGACTGCATTAAGGCGCTTAAATTCTTAATGGTGTGTTCCAGTTTTTAATTCAGGGCGCAGTTGTCCTGCATAGAATTCGTGTTTGAATAAGTTCACCGGTGTGTAAGCGTTGCTGTGACAACGAAGAATATCGAGCCAGACCGTGGCCTCAATTACAATGGGCCGTTGTCGGACTCGTGAAAATGCTTTTTAGTTGGGGATAGCTTGCTCTTTCCGCGCGAACAATCAATAGATCGACCAATTGCCATGGGGGACTCTACCACAAAAACAATTTCAAATGTTCACATTACGCAAACTTTTAGTGCTGCACATTGTTCTCTACTAAAATTCCAAGATAATTGGTAACATGAACGTCACATGATAGGTCGTTTAAATGTGAATGAGAAAGAGCTCTTAAAGTCAAAGAAACAGCATGACATTTACCTCAGAGCAAACGCATAAAAAAACCATATTTGAATCCATTCGTTAAGATTAGGTGCTTTCTTTTAGTTTGACGCATTAACACAATGCTTAGCATTGTAACCAAATTCTACAGCGTGGACCCTCCCGTAAGTCCGAAAATTTGGAATTATGAGGCGTCGGATTGTTGAGGCATTCGAGTTATAGGGCTCTGATGCCTCATAATAACAACGCCTTATTTCGACAACGGACAAACCATGTTTCAGACTTATGAAACGTCTGACTTATGTGGCGTCAGATTCATGGGTCTTTACTTGGTTTGGGGGATGATATTTTGTTGGACTTAATGAGGCGTCGAAGCAGTCATTTCAAATGCTAAGAAATAATTGTACACGATGACAAGTAATAAAAACAATAATTTTAACAGAATAATAATTGCGTTATAAGTAGTTTGTTTCATTTTTGTAACACATCATTGGAGAAGTATGCCGTTCAGGCAGATATCAGATAAAAATGGCAGACAATGTGGGGTTTTTGCTTTCAAGCATGAATTTTGACACGGTTTAGGAATAGAATGGCCGCCAAATACCACATTTCGCAAAAAAAGAGAACATATTACCAATTCTACGGTGAGGTAAAAAGTAAAAGAGCATCTTAATCAGACCTGCCAACCTGTGAGATAACAAAACTGTATTCTGAAACTCAAAAACCTGTATTTTTCCTTGAAAACCTGTATTTTTTTGTTTTAATGCACAAACGAGCTTACAAAGGTTTAATGTTGCTGCAATTCCACGTGGTGTGAGGATTTTAGAAATACCTAATTTAAAAAAATTGAGCAGAGCTTTGCTGTATTCAGGGACTTTTAAAAAAAAGGCCCGCTGAAACTAAGTCATAAGGTAATAGGTAATAGCCTAGGTAACATAAAAAAATAATTTTCAAATTCAATTCAAGGAATTCAATTCCATTCAAAATTCAATTCAATTCTATTCACAACTGACTCTATGATATATCGAAGTAAACTTAGTTAAGACCTTTCTCAGTTAGTTGGATTACGGATTTGGTTCCCCGGGTCGGGCGGTGAGAGGGAATTTATAAATTAAAAAAAAAAATCAACGCCCTTTACAGCGCGCCCGTAATAGTGCGCCCAGTTTTCGGACACAGTATTCGTGTTCGAACAAAACGTCGTCATTCAATTTCACTGCACGAGTTTATCACATTAAAAGTACATAAATAATGAAGGAGAAAGTCTGCAGACTAAGCAAACTGTCATTATTTATCTTGTTCCAAGCTATGTTTGCTTAAAAAAAAAGTCGTCGCCTCAATACCTGTCATCGAAAAGTACGCGAACATTAAGCTGTCGATGCATACTCCGATACGGTCGCATGGTCGGTGCAGCTGGTACCCGGCCCGTTAGGCCCAAGATATATTTGTTGACAGGAACCAGTGCACAAACGTAAAACACGTTGCTGCGAGCATGCTACATCCTGATAAATAAGGGCGCCAGCGTGGTGGGGCGGCCGTACTCAATCAACGATCAGGGCATGTGGAAATGTACGGACTACGGTGATTTCTTTCTCTATTTTTTCCACTAGACGCCAGGATTCCAGTTTAAAAGTGAATCAAAAGCTTGTGGTTACTAGGGAGGCATTTTTTGAGGAATTCTTTTTGGGGGGCGGCGATTTTTCAAAATTATTTCCCCCGACGTTATATGCCCCTTAACGTTACAACTTATTTTAAAAATGCCCTAATCCACCTAAAACTGTATGGCTAGTAAACTTCAGTAAAAACTCACAAAACCATTCTGATTAATAATAATAATATTAGGCCTACTAAACGAAGAGACGAAATACACAACGTACACCGTGCGTAATTCTCTCCTCTCTGGGACGGCTGGATGAAATCCCATTTCTCGGTGTACTCTTTTTTGTACAGTTGCTTCCTTTTAATATCTTTTTTGGAGGTCGAAGCCATATTTATTTCACGCCAGTGCTGCTTTCGAATTCCACGCTCAATTATCCTCAGCTAGCTAGTTGCACATGGTATGCGCAGTATATGCCTAGCGCTTTTGTATGCAACGATCCGATTGGTTAATACGCCCGGTCCATGCGTTTGTTTACATCCCATGCACCAATCACAGACACCCTAGCTTACTTGATCGCGATGTCGAGCCTCGTGTCTCAACGTAGTCTACGTTCGCAGCCGTTTTTTTCTTCTTGCGCACTCTTCACTCGCAGCCGAACTAGGATTTTTTTTGGCGTGTCAAAATGGTCAAAACCCGTATTTTATGGAGAAAAAACGTACGGCCGTATTTTCAATAAATTCCCGTATTAAATACGGCAAAACCGTACTGGTTGGCAGGTCTGCTTAATGCAAACCAGATATGCATTTTGAGGAAACGGGGCATTCTTTATAGTAAAAAGGCATTTTGCCGCCCAATACTACATTTGGCAGAATGAACGTATTATATTATTGACGTGCAACTTTCGCAAGTATAAATACAGTGTGATACATGACTGAAAATAGAGAGAAATTATTAATATCAGAATGTCTGTCGTTTAAATGTTTAAATAAGAAAACTCAAGATGATTCAGCATTGTGTAATAATAACTGAGTCTTTAAGATGTTAATAAAACATACAAATACACGTACAAAATTAGATACTACATATTGTGTTTTTCATTTCGATTAAATATATCAGGTTTTCCTGAACTAAATTTTCTCGACAAAATTTGAGCACATATTAAAAAAAAAAAAAGGTTTGAGTCTCTAATTCATTCGGACGCTATTATTTTTTAATGTCACACAATTTTTCTAGTATGTAGAGTTGTACATAGAAATAGAATTGTTGAAACTCATTCTCACACACCACAGTTTGGTACAATACATGACTGACACAAACCAGATATCAAAATTGCATTTCTACATTTGCACCACCCCTGCATTTTGTTTCCAGCTGTGTCTAGCCGGTAAAAGTAAGGTGTCCGCCTGATAGTCCGAAAGTTTCACAGACCAAAGGGTTTTTGGATCCGAAGGTTCGATAGTCCGAGAAATCTAGGGAACAATGCTACCACAACACTCATCGTTAGAAAATCGGTAGCCCAAAATAAAGTGAGGTTTGAATGTTTGCTGCGGTAGCACAAAGGTTCGTTGGTCCGAATGTTCGATAATCCGAAGGTTCATGAGCCGTCGGAGCTATGGACCGTTACAAAGAAAAGGTGAATTCGTCTGACAAGGCGAGAACGAGATTTACAAACAATTATACGACGATTCGCGTTAAACGTTTGGTGACCATTCGGAAATACAATACTTAAACCTGGTTTCCTTGTCGTGTCCTCTCTTGCTAACCCTAAAAGAATGCTTACGGGCGAGGAATATCTGTTCAATAAACGTGTCTTTTCCAAATTCTTTCGGGGTTCACTTATTAAAAACAAATCAAATTTCCATGCAGCAGGGGGTTTTTTTTGGGGGGGGAGGGGCTGGGGTGGACTAGAATTTTCAAATACTTTTGATTTTTAAAGGATGCAAACATTAAAGTCACACACAGAAATGAAAAAGAAGTACATTAAAAATGGTCTTACCTTGAAGATCACAGCTGACTCTTTGCAAGCAGCAAACTTGAGTCAAAAATATCACGAAACGGACGTCTTTGATGTTAAAAGAAATGCAAGATTTTAACATCCTGGGCATTTTAATGGATGCGTTATGGTACGTTTTACATGGTTGCAGAACGTTCAAAATATGTGAAGATTTCCTCCCCATGACTCCCAGTCTTCAATTAGCTTGCACGCGTGTAAGACGAACAACTGCAATCGACCGCATTTTACTTCTCCCTTCATTCAATAAATAAAGGGCAACTTCACTACATAAGGCACTGCCACTTTAATGTGTGCTTGAGTGGAGTATTTAATTTAGGGCGCGGGGGTCCTAGCCCTGCATACGTGGTGTGAAAGATACTGACGGTAACGTTGCTGTGACAACAATGTGTTGTAAAGGGCTACGTACGGATGCTCGTTTAGAAAACGCAAGTCACCGGAATGGAACCGCATTTGTATGTGTAATGATGTGTGCGTCACTGAAGAGACTTAGAATGAGCGCCAAAGGTTCACAAAGGGCAGGCTTCAAACGGCCGCAGTTAAGAGTATAGTCCATCATATTTAATTTGTGCATAATATTCGTTTGCAGTAACAAACGTGCTCAAAATCCAAAGAAGGGTGCTGAACAACTAACCTGATGAAGTTTCAGCTCAGTGAATGATGTATATTCAGAGAAAAACAACATTCAAGGATCTCGATTTCACATCAAAAGTTTCCGAGTCATGTTTTCGCATAAAATATCAGAATGTTAGCGCCAACAAGTGATAGAGTAAGAGACTGCATTTGCACATTTAGGGATGCACCACGCCCCCCCCCCCGGATTTACACCTTGGGCTAAACCCTTGCGCCAAATAAATGCGCTCTGGCTGACTCTGACGCGTTCAACACAGTGCGCCAGTTGTGAGGCAAGGTATTACAACTAATAAATAGGTGGAACCAACAGGAAAAAAAATTACAAAGAAGTGACTGTTAATTCAATGAAAGGAGAAATCGCCAGCGGTAAGAAGTCTGATGAAAAGGCTTCCAGTGGTGATAACACCAATACTCAGACACCACCGCAGAAGAGAACTCCAGAAAGACATGTTCACATCATGGAATCCATGTTTAAAATTTCAACAATTTCAACAATGGATTGTTTTGCAAGCCCCCCCCCCCCGCCCCCTCTCCTCGCAACGCCCGTGGATTGAGTTTGCCATAGTATTTGATTTTGGAGGATTGGATGGACTTCTAGGGAAAAGGGAGTTAGTGCTGAACATACAAGCACCACTGATGCAAGTGATTTGCGATTGATGTAGTCATGGATCCCTTTTGAAGAGAACGGTATTTCGAGGTGGGTTCCTTCCACTTACCCTACCACACCAGGAATGCCTTATGTTTCCTCCACTTCACTTAAAATTTACTGTTGCTGTTGAGCATCATGCCAGCTAATAACCTAACATATTTTTAGATCAGACCGAAAAAAAGTTGCTAGGCAGTTTCCTCATTTGATAACATTTTATGGTTAGTTTGTCAAGTTGTACATCCATCTACTCCATGTAGTTCATCATGACTTGACAAACGGTGAACACAGTTTCAGGCACTGTGGTTTATGGCAATGTATGTGTGAGGGGCAGTTCTCTTGCGGGGACTTCAGGGAAGGGGGGCTCTGGTCTGGTTCTGGAGTAAGGGAAGAGGGGGGCACACAGGTTCTTTGTTGGAGTGAGTGCTCACACGGAAACTGGATCTCCCTTACTCTGATTGTTTATTCAAACTGAATCGGCCCAGGTGGGGCCACCTGTAAAGATCGGGCAGGCACTCATAAGTTTCATTTCAAAATACAAACAATGTACATGTGTAACTCATGAAATAATAAGCGTACATGTATTAGAAAGATGTACACACATTACCCAGTTAATTACCAAGAGTGAAAAGCCTATATGCAAGTATGGTGACCGCATCGAGCACCCAAGGATGGAATCACAAACAGACAGGCCGGCCCTGCGCACTGACTGACCAACACTCGCACACACTATCACACACCGCAAGCACCCACATCCGTCCCTAAAATGCACAATATGATCACCAACTTACATGAACTTTCCAAAACTATATGACAGTGACAGTTGTAAGCATTTCTATAAACTGGTCTCCAGACAATTAAGTGCCCAATAATGCAATATAGGCCTACGTCCACATAAAATCACTCTTAAACCACAAACTACTGTAAGTTACATATCACAATACATGTACTGCTCACGCACGCGCACTGCACATGGTCACACTGTGTGTGCCATCAGTGCAAACATGGGTTGCTAACCCTCGTGCATTTGGTCACAGTGCTCCCTAAATCTTACAGCAAAAATCTCTCCAAAAACTTCATTACATTCTCCAAAACTACCACCATATTAATCTATAATAATTTGCTGATACAATAAAGGGCACATAAGTAATAATCATCTGGATTTTTGGTGAAATAATTGCATTCAAAAATGACCTAAAAAAGTACAATACATTTACCTGTAAAGATCGGGCAGGCACTGCCTAGCCTAGGCCTTGCCGCGACCGCATGGTTTGGGAGCTGTGAATTAACAACGTGCAGTTCACGTCAAGTGAACAATCCACAAAAGTGATCTAAAGCCAAACCTATGATGACAAATAATTTGATAATACACATTTCTAATCAAGATAAGCATAATTCTTCTTTAAAATCTAAACATAATGTTCATTTTCCTTGACTAAGAAATATTCACAAAATACAAGTTCAAAATCACAGCTCCATAAATCAATACTATTTTTGGCTCCACTAGAAAAATCAATACTTTGTATAGCCTTGTCTCGAGTCACACTGAGTAGACTTCCCTCAAGTCACATGAATAAATAACAAAGTAAATGCAAGGTTTGTAGTGAATAAACAACCAGAGAAAGGGGTCTTTATAGAAGAACAAGAAATATAATCAACACAACCATTACAACTCTTCCACGCCTAGTCATCATCGTCCTCGATGATGGGGATCTGAACAGAAGGGTCAGTAACCAAAGGCCAGAGAACCTGGATCAAACAGTGGACCACTAAGCTCTCCTTGGGGATGCACAGCATCCATAATCGAACAAGAGAAAATGCGAAAACGCTTTCCAAAATAGCAACAAATTACTAAAAACGATCTGGCAACACTCCTCGTGTGCTCCGAACAGGATACCGCCTGGGCAGAGCTGCAGAAGTAGACCCATTCTGGGCAGTATCTACTGCTGAAGGTTTGGGACTCTCCTCTGGTACCGCCTCTTCCTCCTCTTTAACCTGTGGTTGGGGTCGATCAGACTCATCGGAGGAAGGAGCATTTTCCACACCGATTGGCAGCTGACCTGGCTTGATGGTAGTAGCACGGGGACGGAGCATATAGGCCCTGGGGCAGGACGAAGAGTCGGTCTCAGAATCACTTGCTCTGTCTGATGACGACTCAACAGGTCGGTTTTCAGGGAGCCAAGGACAGTGTTTGAGCGCTGTTCTGTGTACGACTCTTTCTTGACCAAGGTGGCTCCGCACCACATACACTGGGCGATCTGGGAATGGCCGTTTGATTACCAGGTGTGGTTCGTCGAGCCAATGATCTGCAATCTTGGATCGGCCTCTGAGTCCATGTTGGCGCACCAGAACATAATGGCCCACTTCGAGTGGTTTCTCAAAACTGTGGCGAGCTTGTCGGGCCTGTCGAGCTGCCGCTGCAAGTTCAGTGTTGCGACTTGCAATTCTCCGAGCTTCCTTTAGGACCTTCTGGTGTCTTGAGACATAAGATCCAAGGGTTCTACCACTCTTGGGGGAGGCTTCCACGCCTAAGACCAAGCCATGTGGAAAACGGCCATTTCTACCGAACATCAAGAAAAATGGCTCCACCCCTGTAGTGGAATTCTTAGAATTGTTGTAGGCATATACGAGCGCAGGCAGATACTCTGGTCACTTTTTCTTCTTCTTCTCAGGCAGGGCAGCAAGCATGTTGTGTAAGGTTCTGTTGAACCTCTCACACTGTCCATTTCCGGCAGGGTGGTACGGGGTAGTGTGACTCCGTTGAATACCATACAAATTACAAAGCTCACGGACGACGTTGGACTCAAAGTTCCTGCCCTGGTCTGAGTGGAGGCGGAGGGGACAGCCAAAAGGAAGAAATACATGTTGTACCAGAGCTCGTGCAACAGAGGGGGCCCGCTGGTCCTTTGTTGGTATGGCCCACACATACTTGGTGTGGACATCAGTCACGACAAGTACATTCTCGAAACCACCATCCAATGCCTCAAGGGTTGTAAAATCCATGGCAACAACCTCCATCGGGGCCGATGCAGATAGGGTGGCGAATGGGGGTCTTGTCTGACGTACAGGGGGTTTGCTTACAGCGCAACGCCGACACTTGGAACACCATTCTTTCACGGCCTTATACATGTTGTGCCAATGGAATCTTGTCCAGAGAAGGTGAAATGTGCGCTTTGACCCAAAGTGGCCAGACTCATCGTGGAACCTGCGGAGGGCTTCATCACGAAGACTGGTAGGAAGCAGCAGCTGAAAGCAAGGTTGCTTATTGGACGGAGATATCACCTTTCGGTACAGACAGCTGTCTCGGACAAAGAGCCGATCCCAATTTCTCAGCAGCTGGAGAACATCACGAGGACAACCCATTCGCTCCTGCCTGTCTGGCTTCTGTCCCCTTGCAACAAACTTCATGACTTTCCCCAGGGTAGGGTCTTCTTGTTGTAAATTGTGTAGTTGCATGAGAGTGTATCCTGGTAAACAGCTGATGCCGCCAATACGACAGGCTTCAATGTGGTGACACAAAGCCGGTGGCAGAAATGCACCAGAGGTGTACCCTGTGAGACAAGCTGAAATGCAACTTGACAACATCACCATGGGTTCGACTGGCTCACATAGGTTCTGGTTCTCCTGATCAACGTTAGCTTCATTTTGGGAATTACATCGCCGTGAGAGGGCATCAGGTGCCTGGTTGCATTTGCCTGGTCGGTAGACAAGCTCATACTCGAATGAGCTGAGTTGCTGGACCCACCGCATTTCGGTGCATCCCAAATTGGCCTTGTCCAGAAACAGCAACGGGTGATGGTCGGTCACGATGCAACACTTGTTACCCAGGAGATAGTCTTTGAAGACCTCGGTCACCGCCCATTTAATGGCCAACAACTCCAACTTGAAAGCGCTGTAACGACCACTTCGTTCAGCTGCCTTCAGTGTGCGCGAAGCGTAGGCCACAACATGAAGTCGAGCATAATCATCCTCCTGGAAGAGAATGGCTCCCAAGCCGGTGCCGCTGGCATCTGTCTCAACCCGAAACGGTCTAGAGAAGTTGGCATATGAAAGAATCGGGGCTTTGATTAGCCGATCAATGAGCGACCTGAAGGCAGCCTGGCCAGAAGACCCTAGTTCGATCTCATCTCTGGTTGGCCTATTCTTCTTCTTCTTTGTTGCTCGGTCACCCTTCAAGTGCTGAAAAAGTGGCTCTGCAATGGAGGCGTAACCCTCAATGAAACGCCGGAAAAATCCAGTGAAACCAAGAAACGCCCGTACATCCCTCACAGTCTTAGGCTCCGGCCAATCAACAACAACTTCTATCTTCTCCGGGTCCACTGCTACTCCCTTGCTCGAGACCAGATGTCCCAAGTAGCGCACCTCTTGCTGAAGAAGGTGGCACTTTGCCGGCTTGAGTTTAAGCCCCTGTTCCCGAAGCCTGGTGAAAACCCTGTCAAGGTGCGCCAAATGCGAGTCAAAATCGGAGGAGTAAACAATGATGTCGTCAAGGTAGATTAGGACATTGTCAAAGCACTGGTCCCCAAGGCACCTCTGCATGAGACGTTGGAATGTAGCCGGAGCATTTGATAAGCCAAAGGGCATCCTCGTATACTCAAATAGGCCGAAAGGAACAGTGAAGGCAGTTTTCTCGATGTCATCTGGATGCATGGCGACTTGGTTGTAACCACTGGTGAGGTCCAGAACAGTGAAAAACTTGGCCCCACCTAGGGCCTGTAGGGACTCCTCGATCCTAGGGAGCGGGAATGAGTCCCGATGAGTGAGTCGATTAAGTTGCCGATAGTCAACGCATAGCCGGATACTGGCATCCTTCTTTTGAACAATAACCACAGGAGATGCCCATGGGCTTGAGCTCTCCCGGATAATCTGCTTCTTGAGTAGGTCCTGAATGTGTTCACGTACTGCTCTGTATTGTGAGGGTGGTAGAGGTCGGTGCCGTTGTCGAATGGGATGTGCAGACCCGGTGCTAATGCGATGCGTAATTTTATCCGCAAAACCGAAGTCTTGGTCATTACACGAAAAAGCGTTCTCATGCTTTCTCAGGAGAGATGCCACCTTTGCTTTCTGTTCATCTTCCAGGACCGCCACATCGACATCTACTGCTAAAGGCATTGAGCTTGGCTGCACTTCGACAGCTACCGTCTCCTGTTTGATCTCCACTGTTGAGTTTTCCTTTTCTTTGTGGCCATCCTTACACGACACAGAATACCCCAGGTAGAGCTTTCCCAGTGAGGTTGACGATGGTATTACGACCTCAGCGTCTGTTTCGTTGTACAAGACAACAGGAAACCTCCCACTGTCTACTTTCACCAGGCATGGTGGGATAATGACACCCGATGGTAGACCTCCATCACTGGTTGGCTCCAGAACGGCCTCATATGCCTCGTCAGCTGGGCCTGTCCGACTTCTGGCTTCAACCACCACTCCCTGGCGGGCAGAAAGCACCAAGGGCTGTCCACATAACCGTGCCTGTCCCACTTGTCCATCCTCTGCACCAAATGTCAACCGCCGATTAACCGTCTGCATTGCCTTCTGCCAAACTGGATCTGGAGTTGGCCATGGGATCCTTTTCAGTCGGGAATGTTGTTGGGTAGACATGAGCCCCTCCCAGCAACCCTGGAGAACATTCATACCTAGAATACCATACACACTCCCGCTTTTCCAAGCATTTAGTGAAGAGTACCTCTCACAGATTACAAGCACCACCCGAGATGGGATGACCAGTCCGACGGCTTCAACATCTGTTTCAAAACACCCAATGTAGGGGATAGAAGAACCATTAGCAGACACAAGTGTGAATGGTTCCGGTATGGCTTGAAGTTTGAAGCCCACAGGTTCGAGACACTGACGGAAGAATCGTTCCCCCACAGTGGTGACTTGGGATCCTGGATCCAACAGACAAGTCACTTTAACTTTCGAAAATAAAACATCAACAGCAAAACATTCTCCAACAGCCTTCTGCATAAATTCTGGAGTAGTCTCTCCAATTGAGCCTACATTAATCTCCACGGTACGGCTCCCTACAGCGGAGGATTGCGGTTTAACGCCTCTGTGTGGGATGGTGCTGCCATCTGCTGTTCTTCCTTGGGCATAAATGGGTGAGGATTAGGACCAAAGCTCTGGGGATATGGTGGCATCATGTACTGCTGCGTGTGGTGGGTTGGCATCTGATTCTGGGCAGGCGACTCCACGTAGTTTGGCATTGGCTGGCGGGAGTAAGTGTTATCGCTCCTCCACTGGTAGGCCGATCTTCGATCACTTCTACAAAAGCGAGCTATGTGGCCGTGCCTGCCACAGTTAAAACATCCTCGCCCACGGGGGTAGGTTGGCGGATTTGCGGATGTCATCGGGGCTTGGCCAGAGGATGGTTGCGTCAATTGACGAACTGCATCAACAACTTCGTTGGCAACCGCTCGAAGTGCTGACGTTTGGATAGCCGCACTGTACACGTCGCTGGGTTTGCTTCGGGATTCCTCTCGCCCTTGCCGCTTGATGGCGTACTCCCTCAGCTCACGGAACGTCTCGATGGTACCCCGTTCGTACAGATCCCGACAGGAATTGCGAAGGTACAAGTCATCAATTCCCTCGATGAATTGTTCAGCAAGAGTTGAGTCGGGCTTAGAGTACAGCTTAGCATCCATTCGGGTGAGACGCAAGAAGCGCTTCTCAAGATCAACTGCGTAGTCTCGGATAGGCTCCCCTGGATTCTGTCTTCTTTCAAGGAACAGCCGTTGCAATTCACCCACGGGTAGCTTATCACGGTAAGATTCTCGCAGAAACGTCATGATCTCCCCAATCGTCTTTCGTTCAGCTAGGAGAGCCTTCACCTCTGCTTTCGGGCCACCTCGGAGGTAATCCAGAAGAAATGCTCCTTGCTGATCCTCTGGAACTGAATACCGCTTGAAAGCATTCTCCATGTTCGTGATGAATTCCCTCACCTCGCCTACTTTGCCTTCGAATGTTGACATCTTCCTTTCAGGCGCCATCACCAACTGGGTCTGGGGTTTAAGAAGCAGCTTCATAAGCTGAGACTGGATGTCGAGGATCGCCTTCTCATTTGTAGGAGGGGTAGTTGGCTCCGGAAGGAGAACCGAATAGAGGCGCTCACTCCACCCATCAGCGGGTGGTTTGATAATACCCTGTTGAGCCGGCACCACCACTTTGCAGTCGTCTTCGGAGTAAAGAAGTCCTCTAGCAGTAGGATACTGGGTTTGTAGGACTGCCAGGTTGAGGGAGCCAGCATCATCCAAAGGGAACCGATTTACATGCCCAGTCCCTTGCACCTTGACGTAGGAGGCCATAATAGTTGGGAAGGGGAAAAATACTGCAAAATATGCAATTCTCTACAATGAAAAATGTAGAACGATTGACTGAATGGTAGTTTGCAGAAAAATACAAATCACAATTAGTGCAAAAGTCTGTGTCAATTTCCACAACAATGGTATACACACACAAATGTGGAAAACTATGTCAACACCTTTAAAATAACCTGCAGAACAAGTTGTATCAATGTCTTAAAATTTGCAAGATCTTAAAATTTGCAAAATGCAAGTAAAGTTTTGTTTCTCCTTGTCAATCTTAACAGACAGGGCAACTTTTAAAGCAATACGGGTAACACTTGAAATAATTGATATCCAACTTCA